CCCCCCCCCCCCCCCACCCTCCCCCTCCATCTGGGGAAAGAGCTGGGGGAGGGAGGCTGGGGTGTCCTGGTCGCTGGGGAAGGAGGGGATCGTATTATCCCTGAGAATTTTTTGATTGTTATTTTTCTTGGCAGTGGGGTGAGGGCGCGTATTTGATCGTGCTCGTTTTTAGTCAACGGTGTAGTATACGGTCTTGACAGGAATTCCGCAGAGCGCGATTTTTTTCCCTCGTTGTCAACATTTCCTGATTTTTTCCGTTTCGTATTTTCGTCCTTCAAAATGAGTATGGCTCAAAGTTACCGAGCCCGGAGGAACGGGTATGTTGCAAAGCAATAGTAAGTATGCCACACTGGTGGACTTAATGAGCAGCTCAGCGTCTCGGACGAGTTGTACTGTCCAGCTGTTCGAATTCGACTGTTGAAGAGACAAGTAACTTTAATATTGTCCGTCGTGGAGTCCTGTATTTGCTTGAATTTATGGCTCCATTGGACAAATTTAAGCACATCGCGAAACTGCCACTCATGGCCGCACGGCACGCCGCGCACGACGACGCCACCAATACGATTGTCTTGCCCGTCTTTCCCGGGGACTGCGAGTCTTTTCTTGGCTTGAGCATGAGTTGGTTGGCTTTTAAAAAGAACTTGGCTTTCAAAAAGAGTTTGTGGTGGCGGCTCGGTAATCGGTGCCCCTCCCTTATCGTTACGCAACGATCAAAGGAAATGTACGGGAACCATGAATTGACATGTGAGAGAAATTTGTGCTGATAATTGTGCTGTGTGTGCCAAACTTTAAGACGATGTTTTAGCGCCATCGAATTGCGACGTGTTTTGTCCCGGGTGCCAGAAGAAATGGCCGACCGTCATCAGTTCCTCGAAACTATAAAGATTATCGCATCTTCTATCAAAAAATTGTTGGAAGCTATCAATGCTGTTCATCAAATAGTACCTCAGTCAGCGCAGCAAGGTGAGATTTCACTTTCTTTGCTCTTTTAAACTCGTGTTTCAGGAAGAAAGTTTGGTAATTCAAAAACATTTTTCGTTTTCAGCGGTGGAGAAAAGAAAAAGAGAATTTGTACATTACTCCAAGAGATTTAGCAATACACTCAAGACTTATTTCAAGGATCAAAATGCTGTACAGGTAAGTTTACAGTGTTCATTTTCTTGGGAAGACTCCAGGAAACTGCAGGCTTAGTTGTAGACAGCTTTTATAATAGTATCTGCTCTTTTTCCACTTTTTTGCTTCACTTTGCATTCCGGAGGCTATCAGATGAGTGGTGGGTTACGAGCAGAATAGGGAAAAGACAGGCCATGGCGAAACAATTGAGCTTGAAAGGCGGAATGTGGCATTGGGGATGTGGTGACCAGCCTAGAGGCCGGTTAGTATGAGACCATGCTTTTAGTCATTTTCTTGATGGAAATCGTTGTGGCATAAGGGTGTGAAAGTGGGTTGTAGTGAACTAAAGGGCACGCTCCTCATGGATTGGGATGGCATGTTGTGGATGCGAACGTGAAAACTGTGGTCACAGTAATGAGCCTGCTGTTGTGTCCAGGTTTGGTACTTTGCCTTTTTGGCGTGGATGTTTTTTTTTAATTTGTCCCAGGGCGACAGAATTGCAGCGGTAGGCAAAAGCATTTCTCAAGTGGAATGGGGCGAGTGAGCCCGGTGAGGGGAGGGGGTGGTGATTTAGGTGTAAGTCAGTTTTGACAATTGCGTTGACCACCGCCGGCTTTTCGCTGAAACGCGGCTTGCTCATATCCGTGCCGCAGAACAAGTATCGGTACAGCTCGACGATGGGGGAGGGGCATTTAGCTGTCATGTGACTGCCTGTTAAGTCTTGTGAAGCCGCCTAACGATACCAGCCAGAGTTCCAAAGTTTGTGGAGACCACCGGTCAACTTTTTAAAGCAATGAAATACCATGCAAATGCCGTTTACCTTGGCTCGACGAGCTTGCCCCAGCTTCACAAGAGTTCACAGCCTCCCTGAGTGAGACACCAGATCCTAGTGAAGCAGCAAAAGTGCTAAATATTTCCCCTCTCCTCGTTCCCCCACCCCCCTCCCCCGCCCACAGCTACCGCGTCGTCGAACACTGCGCCGGGATTTCGTCTCTTAGAATCCGGCCTGCTTCGTCGATTGTCATGTCAACCGTTTGAATGTTCTCGTTTTCCGAAAAACCCACTAGTAAACCTTGCCATTGGTTCACGACTAGAGAATAATCACAATCACAGTACACTCTTCTTCGCTGCGGACGGTTGGGCGTGTCAGCCAGTATGAGTGTGTCACCCTCTTTGAGCTGTTCTCTGCCTTCTTGTTGAAACGGGCATGCGACAAAAAGCAGTAGAAAACAAGTAATACGAAAGGTATGATACAGTATTGTCATTTGCTCGCTTGAACAACTCGTGGAGAACGAGTTTGGCACCGCGCCAAACGCAGCCGCACGAACACGCCCAACCGTCCGCAATGAACTACACTATATATGGAACATTTCTTATTCTGCGTCCTCATTCTCCTTTGCTTTAGGTCTCGGTCTCCGCCAACCAATTGGTTTTCCAAACTTCTTTAATCATCAAAACAGTGAACGAGAAATTGAGAAGATAAGATGTGCATCAAATCATATGTCATTCTGATCTTTTGTGATATCACTCTCTTTTTAGTGTTTAGCTTTAAATATTGTTTGTTGCAATTTCACGTTTATTTGGTATTGTATGACCTTTCTTTGTTGGCGGTGTAACCTCTTCCAAGCTCCTTTGCTCATCGTGTGTATATTCACTTATAAAGTTGTGGTCAATTTTGTATAGTTTCACTATTCGATCTTTTGATCATTTCAACACAACCTCATAAAAAAGCTGCAAGCTAACAGCGTCGTGGTCACTAACCACTGCACTCGGCTGTTGTTTTTAGGCCAGAAGCGTTTGTACAGTTATGATCCCTGCGAACGATCAGGAGTGTGCCGAGAGTTGACTGGAGCGCTGCCAAGGCTCAGTTATACATCTTGTGTCAGCAACAGGTGGTAGGAAGGTCGCATGCAACTCACTCCCCGCGTCATTAAAGACACCGCGATAAAGTGTTCGGGTAATTGGTGCCCAGTAACGAAGCAGTGGCCCATTTGTAACCCCCCAGTGGAAAAAAAACCTCGCGAACACCCGGAACACGGACCTCCCTTTAGCAGTGGGGGCGGGGCCTGGACGAGTGCGCCGGCTGTGGCTGCCGGGATCGGTGCGGCGGCCGCAATTGCGTCCCGACTTTCGAAATAGGATAATTTTCGAATTCGAATAGGAAATAGGAAACTGCGGAAACAGCTACGCCCCTGAATCGACGGTTGTCGGAGAGGAGAGCTCCCGTTTAATCCATCACTTGCGTGTGTCGAGAAATTCCGGGCATCGATGTCTCGATAAAACGTGTTCCACTGATAATTACAGGGTTTTTTCTGTCAGAGTGGAGCTGGGGAGAACAGAGGAGCTCTTCTCAGTATTCATGCTGTTCTGTTATATTCTCTCCTGCTACGCGCGATGCGGATGCTCTAAGCAACAAGCGGGAGAAACAGACTTTCGTACGTGATACTCATCTCCCCGT